TTCAAGCAAGAATCCCCATCACATGATAATTTATACTAATTTATTTCAATTACCAATTCATATTTAGATTTGCAAATATAAACTAAAACAAAGAATCTTATTCGATTAGAGCTAAATCTTTGTGCACAAGAATCAAATATTATTAGGCATGCCTAATAATATTTCTGCGTGGATTTATATACATTTTCCAATTCTGAAAATTGCGTGCTATTTGTCAATCTTGAAACGTAGTCTCAAATTGTAGTTGATATAGTAAAATCACAAATTAAATTGATTATCAATCTGATATTAATATCGGTCTATTTTTTTTTATAACACTTTATTATTATAAATTACAATCGTTCAATATTCATGTGACCCAATTTTTTAAAATAAATTACAAAAAATGGATGTAATATTTTACTTGATAATCATACTAAATCGTGCATGAAAAATAAGTTGGCTATGTGATGTGATAGATCGTAAGACGGAACGTTTAACGTGACCTATCGACGTCTCGACTCTAATTATTATGCACTTAATTTTCTAATGAAGCGCATCGAGCGAGGGTCGTGGAAAACGACGAGCTCGTGCACTGATTTCACGGGCCACCTGTCGCACCGTCGCTTCATCCGCCCTATTCGTTTTGTCGCATCGGTCACGCAGGGTGTAAGACATTATTCTACATAGAGGGTAAGCGAATCGCACCATGGAAACTCTCAAGCCGACTTATTTATGAAAAGTCGTAAATGAAACTCTACTTTTGCTGCAATATAATTTTTTATTATACGTATATATCAATAATTTCTCTTAATATTTATATTTTGTATTAGAAGATGCATCATCTTCAAAAAGTAGAATAAAAATTTTTCTTATATTTAGAATTTAGAATAAAGTATAGACACTTAGATGATAATTCATACCTTTAAAATTAATACACGTACTTAAATATCCATATAATCCATTCTAAAAGTCCATTTATATACTGATAAGAAGATATTGACAAGCAATTAAAATTATCAAGTTTATGAGATAATCAATATTGTATAAAAATTCAAATCTATAAGACTCTTCTATCAATGCATAATTTTTCTTTTTCGCTATCGTGCTGACAATTTTTTTCTCCTAAAAATATAAAAGTGAAAACGAGATAAAGTGCAAAGATATTCTTTTTTCAAAGGATTTTGGTTATAATAAAAATAGAAAAGTTTTTATTGTTTTTAATTCGAATAATCGAGTATTCGTGCACTGACATAAGAGTTAATGATACATATGTAAAAGTCAAAGATTTAATTTATGACTTCTGACATTAAAAACAAAGTATACATCCTGGATAATATATCCTCAATTTCGAATATACGTTTGTGATGAGGAATGGCATTTGGTTAAATCAGTTCGTATGTTTTCCAACAAGACTACACTAACCTTTACCAGTTTTCTCGTCATCATCTGTCGCCGTTTGGACACAAATGGCAGAGAAACGACAAATATGTCAGGTCACGAGGAAATAAAGGGAATCGCGGCTGAGCGTCGGAACGCCCCTTGGACTCAATCGATTAGAAGTGTCCACTTTCTTAGGAGTGAACTGCTCGCACCATCAGTTCGACTAATTCGATCAGTTTTTTTCCTCCCAATTCAATGCCCAATTCGATCGATCTTTCGAACGAGAGACATCGATCGACAACCAAACGGGAACGATCGTGGAAAAAAAATTAAGTGGAAGTAAGAGATGTTGACAAATCTCGACGACTACTCTTCCCGGCGCAGCATCATCGTGGAACAGACGGTCGTCGACAAAAAGGGGGCGACTAGGGGGATAGGTGAATCTCTCCCTTAGATAGATAGGTAGGTGCGGTCAGTGTCACGAGGGCTCACAAAGGCTGACCGCCGGTAGGGACATTCAAATGGTAATCGGCTCGCGCGTCTAACGTACACCGACGCGCCCTACCCAACCCCGCTTCAAGGGGGTGCGAGAGCGGGCGCACCCCTCGGCATACAGCCGAGCACATTCGCACCAGAATCAAGCCAAATATTGGCAATATCATCCCTTGGCATTGTCCCTCGCCGCGACCTGCCTCCTGCCGCCACCGCTGTCGGTGGGAAACGATGTCCATTTGAATGCGCGATTCCATTACCGATGCCGGTATATCGGCCCGAGAATATTACCGGATTAGGATTTAAAGGGAAGCGGAATCTCAGCACAGTCATAGAAACTCGGTCATTTCTACGGAATATGCCACATTGCTGCGATAGTAGGTAAACACGATGAAGTCGAAAAAGTAAAAAGACAAGTTCACGCTTTGTCTTCGTATTTTTCATTCATTGTTTACATAAGTAATTTTAATATATGTGTAACACTTTTAAAAAATTCTCAAGAATACAAAGATAGTGCAATTTGAGAAATCATATATAAAAAGGATATTATAAATAATTTCATATAATTAAACTATTTTTAAACAAAATGCAATATATACATTAAATTTTTTAATTAGAAATCATACATATATAGTATCGTTAAACAAATTTTTTTTACAATTTTTATATAAAATATTACAAAAATTAATTTCCAAAATTATTTCATTTTTTGTCATCCGAGCAACGTAACTGTAATATTATAATATCGATAATTAACGAAAGTTAATTATTGATTTGTTTTTTTAAAAAATATATAAAATTGTGGTCATTACCGCAATCACATATCTTGCTTAATTAATGTCATTTCGGTCGGAGTACACTTGATGCGCTTATGATAGTCGACTGTAATCCGATTCAGGTCGTTGCGCCGATTATCTCATAAAACGCGCTGCCAGGATTCACGGTACGGACGAGCGGACGGACAAACGCGTCCGTTTGACGTTCACGAATAGATCTGTGCGATTCGCGATCGCTGTTGATTCAGGGTGAGCAACGTCGCACGTGTGCCAGTGTAGACGCACGCAAAGCTCCCGCAACCCGAACTTCAGCACGCGCCACGATTACGCGATTACGCGATTACGCGTGTCGTCTCCCCATCGTACAGCCCGGGCTGACGCCCCGAAGGAGAGATCGAACAAGCAATGACGCGGAAGATGATTCGCTCCCTCCTATCATCCATGAAGACCGAATCTACGTTACAAAATAGACCGGCAGACTGTCGAGAGAAAAAAGGAGCGCCACTTTTTCATCGCGTTCGAGATCCATTTATCTAATAATATCAAGATTATATACTTTCAATATGAATAATTAATAAATAATAGACATTATTTTTCTTTGTCACAGTATCTTCAATATAAAATTTTTCTTAAAAACTCACATTAAGAAGAATAAAATGAAAGATTGATAATAGCTTATCTATAGTAAGAATTCCTACCAGGGTGAAATATTATTTTTTTCTTTATGCATCTCAGAATAGAATCCAAGACGCAAGGATGCATTTAAAATAGCATGCGTGCGTACTGAACGGGATTTTGCGCGTCGCCTACGCAGCGTAACGGGAATTAAAGGACAGGCAGGAGGGAGTGATACGTACCGTCGGCACGAGTCGACACGTGGCGGTAGCGCTTTATACAAACAGCATTATGCACGCTCGCGCTAACATAAATTACTGCGGGTTTAATATTGGACGTCGGGGTTGGCCATGGCCGACCACCTCCTGAGCAAAATACGTTAAATGCGGGAAGAGCCCGGATGTGTGTAACCGCGATTCGCGATTTCTCGGTTTACTCCAGGAATTTCTCGAAGACCCGATATAGAGCACGCAAAAGTAACAATTACATGTATTGCAACATAATTTTATATATATGATGTATTACATTGTAATTACAAACATACGTAATACATATCAATGCACTTTTTTCTTCTAAACACTGTAGATTAATTCATACTAAACTACTACAAACTAGTTTGCACTTATTAAATGCAAATATTTTGCTTGTATTCCTGTTTTTAATAAAATTCATATCTACCGGACGCGACATCAACCGATCAGCTAAAAATTCGAACAAACACGAAAGAAAAGGCTTATAAATGGTATTACTCGTGAAAAGCCTCGGCCGAATTTCATAGTAGGTTCTTTCACGACGCAAAAGCGTGAAAGACTTTGAGAAACTTTGAGAGCTCAGGAAATATCCAAATACCATCGCGAAAGCGAGAACGAGCGGAAGAAACGATAAGTGGACACCCCATGGAGAGTGATGCGATGCAGGCCGTTCGCATGGGTTAAGGTCGGTTTCGTTTATGAACGAGGATCGAAATCCACACAAGTCGCATGTTGACTTGAGTGTTGCTCTCTGCGGTAGAGTCTCGTCTTAATCCCGAAGAAACAGAGTGCAAGACCGGATGTGGCCTCTTGAATCTCGAATGGATTGACATTGTTTACTGTGGATTTACACGAAATGAAAAAGTATTAACCGTTTAAAAACAGTGTAAAAACAGTGGCTGATATGAAAATAATAAAAGCATATCAAACATCGTTTTCATTAATTAAAAAAATATTATAAAAACGATAAATTAAATATTAAAACAATATTAAAATCGATATGAGAAGACATATAAAAATAAATTTGAGATAAAATAATAATATTTCGATCCGTTCTAACTTCTTATTTTTAATTGCAAATAAAAAAAGTTCTGGAAAAAGATTAGAAATATGTAAAAATCCTAAACATAAAATGGTGGAATGTCTATGAAGTAGAGGTTTAACTTTAATTTTAATTAAAGTTTAAGTTTTAGTTTTAGTTAAAGTTTTAATTTTAATTTTTTTCAAATTTAACTTTAATTTTTATTATGTCTATGATAAAAATATTGGTGTCTATAGTAGAAATAGAAATTTAAGTTGTTAATTAAAATCTTTAAAACATATGAATAATCGATAATTCTAAATCTTTTTGCATACTTCTCTCGATAAACTATTCGAATGATTCACTGACAGGACTTTGCTTTTACAAAGTCATTAGGATTATAGCATGTCACAATTAAAAAATTAATGCGTATCTACTTCTTACATTCTCAAACACAGTGTTGAGGAATAGGTTCACGCTATAATGGCCCACGCATTCTACATTCGGAATCCTTATCCTGTACCGGATCTCTCCCGAGAAGGAGCATGGATATCACGTGGACCTGTGTTGGGAGATAAAGTCTCGCCATTTGATAAAAATTGGAACGTTAAATTGAGCGCTCACGAACGTCTCTTCGCTCATCACACTTTAAGCAGCATCCGCAGGGATCATCGATTCATCAGATCGCAGGTTTTAATACTGATATTCGATACTGAAAGTAAAACTTTCTATTATATCACAATTTTTGATATGCATAACTGCTTTTATAGGTTCCACGTGACGCCCTCGATCTAGCGTTAAACAGCATTTATGCTCACAGTCGAGACACTCTAGTTTCGAAGAAGTACGTGCCCATCCAACCGGAAACGATCGGCAGAGAAACTTGGCGTGTCTTACGAAACGAGATTAAGGTACAAAAAATAGATTAAATACAATTAAATTGAATTACATATACAAATGCATCATTAAACAATAAAAAATTTTAGTATGAAAAATAAAAGGCTATTTAAACATTTTTAGATTTTACCGGATCCACCTAAACCAGATAGACCGATGCACGTGAGCGGTCATTCGGACGAGGAACTTAAATCGGTAGTTCGGACACCTTTACCGTTGGATAAATTGAGGTGTTATAGCGGACCAACTTTACCGCGGAGAATTCATCCGTGCAGCGTGAAATTAAATATCGAGGGTCCTCATATGGACCAATCGAATCCCGGATACAGTCGCAAAATCGACGGAACTTTTTACAGTATTTAAACACGGATTTGGGCGGTGTTTGAGCGGCATGCCTGGAGAACGTTCGGATTAAGCTGAAACCTGCAATTCGCCGAATGAAGCTCCCGCTTTTACAAATACCATTATCGCTATTGGCATAATCTGGTGAGATTTACGTTTTGGAAGTCCCCGAGAAGCAACGAATCGTCATTGTGACTGTAACGTAGACACAAAATTGATCATATTAGAAAACTATTGTTTACTTTACGAAGAAACGTATGATTAAATCGCGTCAATCGTCGTCATTATTTCGTAGCATGAAAAAGTATCTATCTATGATCTATCGATTGTCCTATTAATCTGATCATGTTGACAAATTTATCCAGTGGTTCACGAACTTGCCTTGGCTATCGTGAACGGAGATCTCCCAATTGCATTTTCGCCCCTTTGACAGTTCGAGGCAGCCCGAAGATCAGCAGAAGCGTGAGTCAGTGCGCACCAACTTCTCACTGTTCAACTCAACAGTGAGCTGAAGGGACAGAATGTTGTCCCATTACCCGGGTAATCCTTGTTTGTAATAAACCAGCACCCCGCTGCCAGCTCGGGGTGACAGCGGAGCCACCCTCACCGAGGGCTCGCGCGAAGGAGGAGTCATCTCCGCACGCATATGCTCCTCATGAAATATCATTTATGTTTCTCACCCCGCGCGCAAACGTCTATCTTGCGACCCGTTTGACCCGGGTCGCAACCCTCCGATATCCTCTCTGCCAGGCCGGAATAGGCAGCACGATCCTTATACATACGTCTAATCCGGCCATGATTGCCCCGCCGACCGTCTCGTCACGAAAACTCCATCTCGGCTATGAGATGTAGAGTACGCTCTACCCTTCCCTTCGTCTGACCCCATTCTTCTAGCGCCTTTAAAACTACTTTTTGACGAATCTCGCAATGATACGAGATGATGAATTTTTTGCGCAATTTCCTTTCATCGTTTTTGTATTAAAAGTTAACAGGGTTTTTACCTTATCATGGATATACGACTATTACAATCTACGTTGAACTTATTATGCATTTATTACAGTTGTATATGCTATTATGAGGATATCTCGTTTATAATTATTTCGATTATAATCGTAAATTCGATCAACGGATAATAATTTTTCTGTGGATTATATTGACGGCGCATGACTATTGACAAGGATTCTTTTTCTTCTCAAATATAATGGCAAAGAGAGGCACCGAAGCTATAAGGGTAGAACAATCTCAGACGGTCGTCAGGCAACGAGCGAGGTTACCAGCCAATTACTTGGCTGAACAGTTTTATTTGTATTTAATTCTTATTTAATTTACTTTTTATGGTCGTGCGCGCGCGTTTTGCCGCCGCTATTAAGGAAATGGAAGACTTCTTCATCATTGCAAATTAACGGCCAGTCGCAGTCTTTTCTATCAAATGCAATCAATGTAAATAAAAATACGATCAATTGCGCAACATAATATTCAACAATGGAATTGACAGTTCATAAGCATGTCAAATTGCTACTATTCATTTTGTAATAAAACTGATCAAATGGAAATAATCAATATAATTAAATAAAAATCATTTAATGTGACAAAAATATGATTTATATTAATTAATAAAATAACGCTAAAAATTAATTTTAATCAGCACGACAGTATTTTGAAAAGATATGTTTACACAAGTAATGACTCAGAAGTGAAGCTATTATATAGTCTATAGATCACGTTCGGACTGACTCCGCTCTAGCTTCAATTCTTTCACGCGTATGCTTTTCCAGAAGGAAATTCTGCGTGAAAGTCGAAGCAAAGTCGCATTGATCCCTCCAGGATGAAGCTGTTATTCCACTGAACTTGTTACGTTATATTTATCAGCGCAGTGCACACTGGCACTATCCGTCGGGTTTTATCGTTTCTTTTGGATTTCGTTCTTCCACCATTTCAGCTAAATAGCAAAGCCACAAATGACACAGCAAATAATAAGCAACACATTATAAATTAACCCGAAGTCATATATTATGTAATTTCTATTTTAATTCCATTCTTTCAAATTGGTAAAATATTTTTTATAATTCAAATATATATATTACGCTTAAAAAAATTATATATCTATTATATAGAATATAAATATTAATTTTACGAAATTGCATTAACAAACCTTGTCGACAAAAAATTATTTCATAATTCTATCATAAACTATTATTATATATTAGGCTTTATCAGATTATTCATACAACTTTTTTTTTTCTCGAAAATAAATAGTATTTGGAAGTAGGAGAAAAAAATGTTCATTACCAAACCTAATAAACAGTCTAAGTAGTAGCATTTCAGGAAATTACCAGAAGTGAATAAACCTGAGTTAACCTGTGAAAATATTTAAATAGGCATTAGAAACCTAAATCGAATAGAATATTGTAAGAAAAGTTTTTTAAAAATAAATAAATTTTTTTTGTTAAAATTTTTTTTACCAATACTTTTAATTTATGAGAAAAATAGAAGAAAATCTTTTTAAATTTTCTTTTTAAAGATAATGTTTAAAATGCATATGTACACCAAAATGAAGATATTTTGAACATCTTTAAGAAAAAAATATTCACTCTATTTTTCTTTTTAGAAATTAATTACTATTATAAGAATTACTATTAATTACTATTATAAGAAAATGCACTAGTAACGAATAGTGTTATTTTTTATTAATAATAAAAGATATTAAGAACTTTTTTACTTAAAGATGTTTGTTCTCAATAAATAAAGAATTATCTATCGCGCTTACTCCCAATGTTTATTTCAAATTTATATATTATATATGTATGCATAATTATTATATTATTTTTCAATTCTGTAAATTGATTTTTCCTCTTTGATTATTCCGTAACTTTATGATATTTAATTGTTATCTTTTATAAGATTGTATATATTATTTATATATTTATATTAAGCTTTCACTTTTGTACTTTAATAATCACAGTAAATTTAAAATAAAATTTCATTGTGAATAAAAATTTATTGTTATTGGATTAAATAACGTACGATCCTATAAAATTACTTCTTGATTTCTTATTTGCCGTTTCTCAGTCTCCACTGACGACAGAAAGAGAGAAGAGGGCTATCCAGTTGAAGATCTATAAAGGGGTAGCGGCTTAGAAAGCTTATTTTCTCATTTTTTCAATATGGTTGCACACGTCGGCGCGTAATATTTACTCAGCATTTTAAAATTATTTTAAAACAACTTGTCCCAGAGGGAAAAGGGATATCTGGTGACGCGAGTGTCAGAGTTGACATTACGTGTCACGTGATTTCAAATGCGGTGGGAACAAACGGGGAACGTTCGCCATATTATTATTTCTTGTGTACTTCAAAGGATACCAACTACTAGCCAAACGAGAGAATCAGTACTGGAAATCAATATATCAGAAATACGTATTTTCATCGAAATATATGCATTAAATACTACTAGTTCACGAAAATCACATTTTACGAAATTTTTTTCTCCTTTCTCCCTCTTTTCTTCTTCTTCTCTCTCTCTCTCTTTCTCTCTCTCTCTCTCTCTCTCTCTCTCTCTCTCTCTCTCTCTCAAAATAATTTTAAATATTCCCACAGTATTAAATATTACAAAGATATTTATAATGATTTTAAAACTATATGGAATGTAATGTAACATGGAATGTAACAGAAACATATTTTGATAAAAAGGATTTTAACTTCAAATGGAAATGTCAAAGTTAACTTTATTTTTTGTACAACAGCTACATAGTTTTTAACGATTACATACTTTTTTGCCGTATTCATTAGAGACTCAACATGTTATGACCTTAAAATCGTCGAAGGTCAAGTAATCAAATGCGAGCTTACATATCATTGCCTTTATACATATTTAAACTGTCATCCCTAGCAAAATCCAACGAGAATAAATCTTGAGTATAGAAGGTAGCACTGGATAGCAGAAAATGCACATGATAGCACTCATACCACGGTTTACGTAGTTTACATAGTAAACATAATAAGTATCATCCCACACAAGACATAATAATAATACAATACCTCGTTCATACTAAATACATTATTGCTATATATAATATGTAATGTATTATTATTAAATCTTGTGTAGGGTGATAATTATTATGTTTACTACCTAAACTATCTTATACAGAAACCTGTATAATATGCACCTTCTATTATTCAGTGCTACCTTCTGTGTTAAGGGGAGTTATTCATCGGATTCTGCCAGGCAAAACTATAATATATGTACCTAGCCATTTAAAGAAGTTGACCTTTATTTAACTTAGACTCTTCATTCTGCAAAATCAATTTTTTTATCATAACATATGTCCTCCTCGATATCATACAATCTCATAAAAATGAAATTTCGATATTTCTCGTATTTCGAAGAAATTCAAATGCATTGATTAAACGAGACACCCTGTATACATTTCCCGTAATCTCGAAATAAAAAGAACGGAATAAATTTTAGTGCCGCGCGCAGCTTCCACTTTTTCTTGATGTTCCGCGAGTGGGCAGACGGTGGCGGTGCGGGAAGAAAGAGGAGAAAAGCGGATTAAAACGGGGGCGAGAAAAGGCGTCTAAACGATGGTGGAAGGTCAAGCCTGAGATTACGACAGACCCGTGCGACGTTTGCTCGTTAATTAGGAAGTTCTAATTATAGTAAATGCGTGAGCCCGGACGCAGAGGTGGCGCGGAGAGATCGTGCCACGGCGGAAGCTCCGGGGATCAAAATGCAACCCTCCGCGAACGAGCCAAGATTACCTTCGAGGGTCCTCGGGCGCTTCCCTCGCTAAGGCTCGACCTACAACCTGCGCGACGACGACCGTTCTCTGCATTTCCCTTCTGCCTCTCCTCAATCTATTCACCGTTTCCCCTCACGTCTCCTCAGCCATACTCTCAGATATCACCTAAAATAACAACGTCCTAGGAGCGCGCCCGGATAGATTTTACTGCTGGTGTATAACAAATGGATTAGTATTTCGGTAGACGTCTAATCCCCCTCTCGTTGTGGCCCCGGAGATTAT